ATCGATGCAACTATCTGAAGAGGTGTTGATCTCATAACCCCACCAAACATATCTGCGTCCCTTTTTGTACTCATGAATCTGACTTTGGTCTTCTTTCTGTTGTACCGGAGATATGAAACAGAGTTTTCGCGTGAGGTTAGCTGATACATAACACACTGGTAAAAAGAAAAACAGAATTCTCTAACCAGAGTGATACTATGTTCAAGGTTTTTTTATTTCTTGTGTGGCAAGTTACAACACTCCGGCAAATGAAATATTTCTGATAGGTGATTTTAAATGGTTAAAACTATTTGAACAATATAAGATCAATAAAAGGTTTTACAATAATGAAAAATGTAAGAGATAACTCCCCTCCCAATTCAATAAAGGGGGTTAATAATCACATAATTAAATAATAGCCGAAAGCCCTTGTTTCAAGAGCTTTAAAGCAAGAGCCGGCCATGTACAGTAACCAAAGAAAGACCACTTACCATGCATTTCAAAGACATAGACATGTCCTGACTAACACAATATGAAGCCTTCATATTTAACAATCAACAGAATAAAACAAAAACTGGATATTGCAAAAACTTGAGAAGACCCGTTAGGTATTTATTGACTTAGAATTTGGGCAGAGGAAGGTGGCATAGCTTGTGGATATACACGAAGCGACTACTTTTTAAATTGTATTTTCTTTTGAAATTTCTTTAAGTAGTGTATAAAGAGTTTTATATTAAAAAAACGTGGGAATCAGGAGGACTATTACAAAAAGAAGAAGAAGCAATTACTTGCACAACGATGCCATGAATCCGTACACTATCCAAACTCAAAAGCAACCCAATCTCCAGCACATCATGTGTAGGCATGGAATTATTCATTTCATCCTTATTATATAATTATTATTGTATCACCTGAATATTTTTATTGAATTACATATATTATCTATATTATGTACAATATTACCTTTGTAGCAGTTAAGTATTTGCCCAAACTAATTAATTGGATTTCATAGTTGCAATAATATTACCAAAAGTGTTCAATTTTATTTTATCTCTTGCTATTTGTCATCTTCCTTTCTCATTTGAAAATAAATAAATAGATCAAACTTATCGATCATTAAGAGAAGGCTCAATTTACTGAAAGAACATTCCATCTAGATGAGGATAAAATTTATGTATAACTAGATAAATACAACTAAAGTGCTGGTGGTCTAATGGTACACTATAATTTTTTTTGAGTTTTCACCTTTCGACAATATGCTACTTTTTAAACCAGAAGTTTCAAAAGCTTAATTTCAGATATGTGAAAATTATGGACATAAGATTTGGATCCGTGGTTATATATATATATATATATATATATATATATATATATATATATATAAAGAATATTTGAAATTAGCAAAAAGAAAATATTTGAAATTAGCACAAGGTCATGCATGTGTATATTCGTTCAAGACCACTTTGGATAATAGTGTAACGTCAGCTATACAGTCACCTTAATGTTATGGGCAGGACAAAAGATCTTTATAGTATTTTCAAGTCAGGTCTCCTTATCTCTATTGAAATACATCGCTTACCATTCTAATCTTACACCTTCAACAAAATAAGAAAAAAACATTCTTTATTCAATTGAGTTATCATGAATGTCAGATTTACTCAATCGTTCTTATCGTATTGTTGGCATGCTGCGTCAGATTTTTGCCTTCACATTGTGTAAAAGTATTTGCAAACGACAAGATAGTGACAATCTCTTAAGTTTGTAGGTTGATCACTCTTTTGCTTTCTTTTAAGGTTGAAAGATTCATGAATTATTATCCTAATACAGTTAAAATTCTCGGCTGACTTTTCCACGTAAACCAGTGAGTTCGACATGTGGTTCAAGAAGATCTCAGTTGGTACGTTGTTTCTAATTGTGGGTAAACGACATGATCGACTATCAAAGTAGTTATGCAAAAAGTTTCTATAACTTTCGTCTAGTGTTCATCTCGAACTCGAAGTCATATGAGATAAGATGATGTTGCGCACTTATTGATGTTGACTTGATTGAACACTAGAGCATAGCTACTTTTGTCTAGTGTTCATCTCGAGGCAGCCATCAAAGACGAAAATTTCACAGAACATCATCCTCATTAAGCTACAGGAGATCATTACAACACAGCTATATATATAACTGAAGTAATTATGCATATCACTCTCAATGCTTTGGCTTTTGTGATGTTTAGAAATTTTGATTAATAGCTTGGAGTTGAACATTGTTTAATATCCGAAGAAGATGTAATCTATTGTTTGATTTCTGGCCAATCATTTACTAAATACAAATGCTCTATGTTCAATGCTCTCATATGGAGTTTTTGGGAGAGCATTTTCATTAAGAATATAGAAAAACTAAAAAATAATTTTATATAATTGATTTATTTTTATTTGATAATATAAAATATATTATAATAAATATATATATATATATATATATATATTTATATTTTTAAAAATAAAAATTGTAGTTAAATATTTTCAAATAAAAAAGAATATTTTACATTTAAAATATAATATAATTTATCATTTCATTCACTATTTTTAATAATAAACATAAATTAATATTTATTTATTTATATATGAAACATATATATATATATATATATATATATTACTTAGACACAAATAAATAAATAAATTATATAGCATATATTAAATTTTATGATATTTTATAAATGAATCATTTATTACTCTACCAATAAATAAATAATAATAATTAATATATAAATTATATAATTTATTTATTTTATAATATTAAAATTATGTTATATCCAAGTATATTTAATATTTTAAAATAAATTTTAAACTTGTGTAAATAATAATATTTCAAATATAAAATATAATATAATTTAGAAAATGAATATTTTTTTTTATTTTTAATAACAAACAGATTATTATTATATATTATATATACAAATATTATTTTAAAATAAATAAATTATATACTAATGTTTAGGATATTTTTTTATTGTATACTACTACTGCTCTACCAATTATATTATTAAAAATGTTAAGGATAACATACACGTTTCTCAACATATTAATTCTATAACATATTGTTAATGTTTTATCATCTGCTGTACCAATCGAGCCCTAAGGTGAAATCCATGCAGCTACATGTGAGGTCTTTCTCAGGATTGATAATGAGTGTTACTTCCACCGATTTGTGAATTTCCGTGATTATCTTCCCACGGAGCAGTCAGTTTCACAATTCTTCCTTCCCTTGGCAGTATCTGCATCTCCAAGTCCTATACAGTGAACGTATATCAACTTTGATCAAAATCATAATGAAACAATGAATATTTGGCTTGTGATCTCACTTACTCTTTGAGTGGAAACAGGAATATCTTTTCTCCTTTCTGGTGAATCTCTCGATGAACATTTCTGGTGGATAATCGAGTGTAAGCGCACAGGATGATGATGACAATCGGTAGGTTGCCATTTTTTATTTTTATTTTTATTTTATATAGAGAGGGCAGTGAGCGAGAGAAATAAACTTCTCACCCACGTTACTGTAAGTAAGGTTGATTTGGGTAAATCGTGTTATTTCCTCATCAAAACTATCATATACTATCAAATATCCATCGAATTATTACTTCGTACTATATTTCCCGAATTATAAGTTATATATTTATTTCACTCCGAATAGATAATTCGAAATATATTTCTCCTCAAACTTATAGTTTAAAAGTTAATTATACATAAAAATGGTTTAATCGATTTATTGTTAACCAAGCAACTTTAAAACTAGACAAAAAATCAATTTTATTAAAAAATAGTCAAAATATGAAAATTTTCAAAGTTTCTTTGATGATAGTGATAGTGTGGAGTTTGAATAGTGTATTAGCATTTCTTTTTTTTGATAAAAATGGATTATTGACTTGATTATTTGTTTTAAATTATATGGTTAATAATAAACCAATAAAAATCATAATATATGGTTAAGTTTGGAACTATCGATTTAGGGAGAAATAAGTATGTAACTTTCGGTTCATGGAGATTTGACATAAGATCATAGTTTGGTGGATATCTGATGCTATATGATAGTTCTCATTAAAAGAAAAGATAGTTAACTAGAACTGAGGGATAGATAGATCCGTCTAATACCATGTGTAACTACAACTATTGAATAAAACTTTAAATATAAAAATAAGAAAAAAATAAAGAAAAAATAAGAAAAAAATAAGATTTTTTAAAAAGTTATATAAATAAATTATGATAAAACTTTAATAAATTGATAAATTAGAACATATAATTTTAACTTGAAGCATAACATCAAAAATAGTTATTAATTTTAAAATTTTATTTATTAAATTATTACATATATTATGAATATTTTTTGAACATGATCTAAAGACTATGAATTTTAAAAATTAAACGTACGGAACCCACGGAATGCCGACGTGGCGCGTTGTGGAACTAGAAACTCTACTATTATAATAAAGATTTTGGTTATTAAAAATGTGGTCTAAATTGTAATTGTCAATCTTTCGAAGACAGTTAATAAAAGGGTTTTGGTGTTAAGAGTTCATCATTGTTAAAAACACACAAGAAAGTTTTAAACTTAACAAGAGGCATACAAAAACTCAGGTTTGATTGCGGGTGTTTTTGAATGGATGACGATCCCAAAAATTGATGTGGATATGTTTGATGGAACCAGAAACTTCTTATTATTGAAAGTGCGCATAAGAACGCTGGTGGCGTCACACCCCATGTTTCCCATATCCAAAAGATATAAGTTATATAATCACAGCACAAGAACAAAGCTACGCTATGACCCTTTGGACTGGCAAAATCATAGACAGTAAAAGAAAAATAGCAATCGGTACTAGCTAGGTAAGTAATAAATCATTCTTTTCTTTTGGTAGGTTAATAGTTCTGAATGCAAAGATGGACAGAGGAAATAAATCATAAAAGTAGCCTCGACATAGTTGTAGGATAAACACAGAGCTGACAACCCCAAAACGTTGCACACATTTTGCAAAATCAAATGTTGATGAGAACACTGGTGGAGTGATGACCATATGGTCTAATTCGTGTGGCTCTCCACTTGGACGCGTCCTCTTTATCAAGGTCACCACTTAAGGCCTCATGTTCCCGTGAAAACAGGATAACTTTATTGTTCCATTGCCCTAGATAATACCTTAAACCACCCTCATTCGTAGGAGGCACAAATACCGAGCTCCAAGAATTCTTCTCTGGATCAAACACTCCCATTCCCGGCCTGAACCAGTTTAAGAAATACACTTTGTTCCTAATAATAGTGTAGGAGTACACCGACAGTGATTGCCCGGAGTCTAACTCTTCCCATGTCTCCGTTTTGTGGTCATATATGTCAATGATACTCGATTCATTGTCTGGAAAATGATGATCATCAAATTATGTTAGAAAGTTTAACTTTGAATCTATGATATATTTTCAGCTGGCTTTTACTATTCCCACCTACAACGAAGAGTTTGGAATTGAAAGAGAATGCCATGCCATGAAAGTTGGGGCGGTGTGGACAATCCATGAGGCTCCATTTGTTAGTTTTCGGGTTATATACTTCCGCGTTGGGAATGCTAGCATGAAATGAGGAATAGCCTCGGATCACATACACAAGGCCGTCCACTATAACATATGCAAAGTTGTAACGGGGCATGTTCATGTCCGCCAATTTTCTCCACCTGTTTTTTATCAAAGAAATAAAACCAATAAGAAACTCGATATACCTAATGTCACAAAGAGAAATTCAGACTTGTTACTAGCAGGATTGAACTCGTAAACATCTGCCGAAACAGCCCTCCCAGATTGTCCACCGAAGACCATGATCTTTCGGCCATCGAGCACTGCATGGCCAAAACTACAGTTAATAGGCCCAGGGACGGGAGGGATCCATCCCAGTTTGTTACCGGAGCCATCATAAACTTCCCAGTACTGGTGATCCACTAGAACACACATTAACTCCTCCACTGATCCCGTCATCTTTCGAACGGTCTCGTAACGCTCGCTCCTGAGGAATCTTCTCCATCGCCAGCACACCTGAGAAATGATCTGAAAGCTAGAGCGTGGGATTCGCGAGAGGCACAACTCTGCTACGTCATCGGCTAAGCCGGGTATTAACGAAGATGAAAACGACTCCACCATTGTTACTTGTCCTTCACGATTTGCATAATTAGTTTAGCTCAATGCTTGTATATATATGAGATTATTACAGCACTTTGGTTTTGTAACCCATTATTATTCAATAACTGATTTAAGATATTTTCCTAAAAACTTTAGTTATATTAAATTTTCAAATCTAGTGTTACTATTTATAATACCTTTATTAAGAAATATCATTATTTAATTAATCTTTTGCATACTTTTAAATTAATATTTGATAGATTCTTGTAACTCATTTGACTTAAAAGAATTTCACTGAATTTTGAATCTAATTTCATTTATAAACTATATCAATCCAAGTCTAATATTGTATCCTTAAATTTGTATCATTTGTTGCTAATTCAAAATTCAAGAATCCAACTTACCACTTTTGTTAAAGCCATCTTAGCATCTTTCCTCAAATCCAGATTTTTATGACAGTTTTGGATATTTCTTTCCACAAGCACATCTTGAGTAAAATTTAATGTTAAATCTTAAGTTTCATAATAAAATTTTAAATTAAAAGTTAATTTTGTGTTTGTCATACTTGTGGGTCTATCCCAAATTGCTTTGGTCGTGAGCCCCATCTTCAGCCTCAGACCAAAATCGAAACCTGCCCATAATGAAGGAAGTTTAGTCATAATTCAGCTTATTAATGTTATTGATATGAATTAAAACATAGAAAGTATATAATTCAAGGGGGAATATAAGAAAATCAAGTTTTCTCCAAACAAGACTAGGATGCGTTAAGATTATGTGATATAAATAGTGAAGACATCGACTATATTGATCATCCGAAACAAAGAAAGAAAAAGATAATAACAAGCAAGAAAGAGAAAGACCAACGAGTTTTTTTTTCTGAACGTAAGACCAAAGAGAAACATTAGATTGTATTTTGGTTATTAAACTTGTGATCTAAGTTGTAGTTGCAAATCTTTCAAAGACAGTTAATAAAAGGGCTTTGGTATTAGATATAATTCATCCTTGTTCAAAACATACAAGAAGGTTTCAAACCTTACAAGAGGCACTCTCAAAACAATTCAGGTTTGACTGCGGGTCTTTTTGAAAGGATGAATACCCAAAACTTGATGTGGATAGGTTCGAATCGATGGAACCAGAAACTTCTTGCTATGGAAAGTGTGCATGATAACATAAGAACCCTGGTGGGTCACTGTTTATCATTTTGCCTGTCCAAAGGGTCATATCATAGCTTTGTTCTTGTGTTGTGATTATATATCTTATGTTATTTCTTTGGATATGGAAATAAAAATAGCAACCTAGACTAAGTAAGTAGTAATTCACTCTGTTCTTTTGGTAGGTTAACAGTTATGGATGCAAAGATGAAAAAAGGAAATATATCATGAAACATCGACAGAGTTGAGGGCTAACCACAAAGCTGACAACCCCAAAACGTTACACACATTTTGCAAAATCAAAAGTTGATGAGAACGCTTTTGACGCTATAACCAGATAGTTTAATCGGCGAGGCTCTCCACTCGACCACGTCCTCTTTATCAATGTCACCACATATGCACTCATATCCCCGTGAAAACAGGAAAACCTTATTGTTCAATGTACCTAGTATGGACCAGAGATCATGCCCATTGAACGGATCAGGCACAAACACTGAGCTCCAAGAATTCTTCTCTGGATCAAACACTACCATTCCCGGATTGAAATAGTCGAAGAAACACACTTTGTTCCTAGTACAAGTGTGGTGGGAGTACGCCGATAGTGATTGCCCGAGTCTAACTCTTCCCATGTTTCCGTTTTGGGGTCATTTATGTCGATGAAACTCGATCTATGGTCTGAAAAAGATGATGATCGTCGAGTATTGAAAGAAAATTTAACTCGGAATCTATATTATAATTAATCGCTCTTATTATTCTCACCTACAACGAAGAGTTTGGATTTGAAGGAGAACGCAAAGGCACATCTAGAGCTACGGCGGTATGGAAAATCCATGAGGTTCCATCGGTTAGTTTTCGGGTTGTATACTTCCGAGTTGAGAATGCTAACACCATCTGAGGTAAAGCCTCGTACCACATACAAAAGGCCGTCCACTACAGCATATCCAAAGCCGTAACGCGGTATGTTCATGTCTGCCAGTTTTCTCCACCTGTTTTTTATCAACGAAAAAAACCACTAAGAATATAAACCCTAATTTTACAAAATTGATCAGATAGATTCAGACCTGTTAGTAGCAAGATTGAACTCGTAAACATCGGCCGAAGTAGTACACGCAAATGCACTATAGTTATACATTCCACCGATGAACACGATCTTTCCAGCGTCGAGCACCGCAATGCCAGAACATCCCGTTCAAAGGCCCAGGAGAGGGAGGGATGCGTCCAAGTTTGTTACCAGAGCCGTCAAAAACTTCCCAGTAATTGTCATTCACTAGAACACACATTAACTCTTCCACCGATTCCGTCAACTTTCGAACGGCTCCGTAACGCTCGCTCCTGAGGAATCTCCTCCATCGCCAGCAAACCTGAGAAATAATCCTAAAGCTAGAGCGCGGGACTCGCGAGAGGCACAGCTCTGCTACATCGTCGGTCAAGCTGGGTATTAAAGACTCCACCATTGTCTTGTCCTTCACGATTTACATCATGAGATTAGTTCAAAGCTTTTGATATAAATAAGAGACCAATACCACTTTGGATTTTGTAATCCATTATTATTCAATAACTGGTTTAAATATTTTACTAAGACCATGTTTATTGCAGGTCCCTTAAGTTGGGTCCCTTAGCGTACGGTCCCTAAGGGACGTCCCTTAGCGTTTTCAGTTAAAAGCTAAGGGACTGTACGCTAAGGAACCGAGCTTAAGGGACCTGCAATAATCATGCTCTAAAGTTCATATTTAAATTGTCTCTATTAAATTTTAAAGGATTTTTGAATCTAGTGTTACTAATTATAATATCTTTATTAAAAGTTTTTTTTTTCTCTATTTCTGTTTCACAAAAATCGTCATTGGAGAGTTTTCACATATATTGCAAAGTCTTTTAAATATTTTATTTACCTTATTTTTCTCTCTAATTAATATATTAATACAATAGGGTTAAAACTGATTTTTATTTAAAATTCTGCATTAAAATACAAAACGATTTTCATAAAACAATATAAAATTTAAAATAACACTGTTCATAAAATGAAGGGAGTATTATTTAATTAATCATTTGAATACCGTATTTAAAGTTTTACATTTGATAGATTCTATAACTCATTTGACTTAAAATAATTTCAATAAGTTAGAATCTAATCTCCTTTATAAACTATGGAATTCAAAATCTAATATTTAATTCTTAATTTTTGTATTTGTTGTTAAATAAAAACATCCAATTCACTACTACTATTAAAGCCATCTTAAGCCAGATTTTTAATTCTTTAACTAAATAATTTTCCAATAATATGGATCTTTCTGATCAATACCAGATCAAAATGTATCATTAACTAAAATTTAATGTTAAATCTTTAGTTTAATAAGAATTTTTTTACAAAAATATGTTTTTATCTTTCTGTTTCAAAATGATCTATGTTTTAGAAAAAAAAATAATTTTTTTTTTAAAAGATTCATATTTTATATTTTATGCATATAATAATGGTAAATTGTGAACATTGAAGACATTGATTATATTAATTAAATTTTGATTGGCTAAATTATAGAAAATAGTTAATCACAAAAAGTAATACATTTATGAATATGTTTTCTTAATATATGTGAAAACTCTAAAGCATGTATAAAACCTAAATACCCACTTCTAGCATACTGCAAGTAATAATTCTTCTCATGATTCACAAAGTTACTACACCTAAAATATAACTTAAACTAATGACGTTACATGTATAAAACTTTAAAATCTATAAATAATATACAAAATTGTAACTTACTTAAGAACATAGTTTGTGAATGAAAATGTTCCCGCGCTTTTAAAACGTGGATCCAAATCTAGTAAATCATTAAAAACACAGCATACCTATTTGGTAAAATTTGGCTATGAAACGTTAGTCAATTAAATAAATAGTATGCTAGCTAAGCCAAAGTAAAAAAGAGCGAGGACATGTTGGCTTAGAGCATGCACATTGGTGTTTCTCTCCAATGAATCCTTAGGATTTTTTAATTAATTTTTTGTACTTTTTGAATAGTTAAGGATCTTAATCCTTTTTAACGTCCAATGGTGTTCTCCAATCCGGAATCCTTAGGAATAAAATAATAATTATTTTTGTAAAATTAAAAACTGAAATTTTATTTATTATATGATAAAATATGAAAATACAACAATTTTATTAATCTTCATAACCAGATTTGTTCCAAATATTTTCTATTAGAAACATGTTTGTTCCATATAGGTTATTGATGTTTTGACTTAATACTTAATGATATGAACCTGATGTAATGCTTCAGTCAGTTCTGAATCTATGTTAAGTGCTTCGTTGCAGCTATCTAAGCCGTCTTTTCCACGGCCAAGCCTGACGGAGACCTTGCATAGTCCAAGATAGAGATGAACGTTATGTGCAGTATGTTCAGGGTCTAGAGCTATAGCTGCTTTGTAATCCTCTGTTGAAACTCTCAGCTTTCCTTTGCTTGCATTATCTTCTGCCTGTAATAGAGCACAACAATTGGCTTCTAAATCTCAATGTTATATAGTTTCAAAAAAAAAAAAAAAATCTCAATGTTATATAAAAAGACAAAGAGTTTTTGCAGGACTCACGCTTTTTGTCTTCTTGAGGAGTTTTTTCAGTCTGAAGTATGCTTTCTTCAGTTCACTGTGTTCTGGAGCAGAGCTTCAAGGTTATTTTCATCTTCCTTGAGGATATAACCAGTCTCTGAAATTGCAGCTGAGTAGTCTTTAGACACCATAAGGAGCTTCACTTTAAGAAGCTTTGCCTAAAACGATGTTGACAATAAGGAACTGCAAGATCAGAGAGGTAATTAAAAATATATTGCAAATAGCCAATCAAAGAAGAGAACCTTAGAGCAAGCTGGGGAGAAGGACAAGAACAACTTTATCAACAAACTCAAGAGCCTTCCCAATGTCCTTTGATTCATAGAGAGACGAAGCAGTCTCCAACGCACTCTTAGCTTGATGAAGCTGAGAGAGCTCTTTCTCAGCATTGGAATCGCCTGGATGTAGTTCTAAATACTTATGGTAGCTAATCTCTGAATCTTCGTATCTACATGGAAATAAAACAAACGTCAAATTCCGAAACTCTTTTCGACAAAACATTTATGCCAAGCAGAGATGAAACCTTTAGCCATTTTCTACTATATACCTGCAAAAATGACGAAGCACGGAAGCACGTTTGAAATAAGCTTCAGAAAGAGCAGGGTCAACTTCAATGGCAGCATTGAGATCATCGAGAGCGTCGCTAAAATGCTTCACTTTGATGCTTTGTGATGCCCTCTCATATAACTCAGCAGCATTCACAGATTCACCATCTGTTCAAAAATAATCAAATAACTCAAATGGATAATTGCTTCACTTTCACTCTCACAACCTAAATTGATCAAAACCGTAATGTGAAGCAAGAAAGTTTTGTCTATTTTCACTCCCATTCTATGTATTCACTACCCCCATATTAAACAGAGTCCGATACAATCACAAGGAATCCTCCACATAATGCCAGAGATTACGACAAGCCCAACACCAAAAGGAGTAAACTTTCGATAAATATAGATGCAAATTGGCAATTTAGTGCGAAATTCCAAACGCTAAGATTCTCTAATCAACCAAACAAACAACTAAACATCAATTTTACCAAACGAATCGAGAAAATTTTACCTAAAGCGGATACGAGGGGTTGAAGGAGAAGAAGTTGGCAAACGAAGACGAAGTTGAGGAGAAGAAACGTGTAGGCCATTCCTCTCCACGCTAACAAATCCATACCTGACCCGACTCGGAACAGATCCATCATCAATCGATCTCAATACATACAAGTGTGTCTATACGCGAACTTTCACCCGCACACCGATTTGGAATGTTCTTGAAACAGAGAGGCTAACGAAGAAGAAGAAGAATCTTTGATTCAAGCTCAGACGAATTTACGACCAACCAAAACGTGACACGTGGCTAAGGATCAACGAAAATAAATCCTTATTTACGTATTGATCCTTAGTGATTTGGGGTTAAATAATATTAAAAAAAATCCATAATCCGATGGACCAGTGGTTAAGGATTCCCACGTTCCCACCGTTGCACATGGTCTTAGTCCAATCAATTATTAAAAATACTATATAGTTTTTACATAGTTGTGTGTGACGCATATTTTTAAATATTATTTGAAAGACTTAAACAATAGTTTCCGGAGCTCAAATGGGAAGTGAGTAACGTTTCAGTATTTGTCCCGTAGCTAAAAGTCAATGCAATGACTTTACTTGGCATGATCAGAAAATAGAAAGTGGGCATTTATTTATTTAAATTTAAAAAAAAAAAATATCCAAAATGCAATTTATCCTCTGGAGCTTTCTTGTCCTCGTCGTCTTCATCTTATAGTCAACCAACGATCAAATCCAGACTCTCATCGATCAACGAGATTCAAAAGAACCACAAATTTTGACTTGAAAAAATCTGAGAGCAGTAAGTAGCTAAGCTTCGTAGACTTGGAGAAGGAAGAACGGAGATGGAAGCTGCGGTTCTTTCGAAGCCGCATAGGTACAAGTACGACGTCTTCCTCAGCTTCCAAGCCGAAGAAAATAACTTCGCAGCGCGTCTCTACGACGCGCTAAGAAATGAGTTCCGTGTCTTCCGCAACAACGAAGATATGGAGCGAGGGAGTGAGATCAACAAAAGACTTGCCTCAGCCATGGAGGACTCAGCAGCCTCCGTCGTCGTTTTATCTTCTCGCTACGCTGAGTCTCTCTCGTGCTTAGATGAACTAGCTATGGTCTGCGATCTCGGATCGTCTCTGGATCGTCCCATTTTACCGATCTTTTACAAGGTCGATCCCTCTCATGTACGCAAACAGAGCGATTCTTTCGCTAATGATTTTGAACAACACAAAGAAAGATTCAGCGAGGAAGAGGTAGAGCGATGGAGAGACGCTATGAAATTAGTTGGAAATCTCGCTGGTTATGTTTACAGGTACTAACCGTCTTTTTCTGGTTCAATGTTCATACGAACATGTTAGATTTTTTGGGTTTGTTATGGACTTCCAACTTAAAACCAATCGGCTATTTTTATATATTACTTAAGGTCTCATTGAATTCCTAATACGTTTTATTCTGTACACTATGATTCGCATCTTGTGTACTATTATTTGCTAAGTGATTTTTCTCGCAAGTTAAAAGTTAGACAGTTAATGTTATTGTTATCATAGAGAGAGTGCTAAAAAGTATGTCTCGAGCAGTTATATATCGGGAAACAAATAAGCATGTTGCATCTCCATATAGAAATAGAAGATGAAATTGAAGTTAAGATTTTTGAATTTCTGTGTTTCTTTTTGTTTTTTTTTTGCAGAGAACGGACGGATAAGGATAATGTTAAGGTTGCGGATAAGGTTAAGATTGAGGATGAGGATGGCATAATAAAACTTGTGGTGAAGAAGGTTTTAGCTCAAGTGAGCAATACACCAGAGAAAGTTGGAGAATACACGGTCGGGCTTGAATCACGTGTGGAGGATTTGATGAAACTTGTGAACGTTAAATCCACTAGTGACGATGTTCAAATCCTTGGACTTTACGGTATGGGTGGTATTGGGAAGACTACACTTGCAAAACTTTTCTATAACAAGATCCTTGAGAACTTCGAGGACCACCGAGTTTTCATCTCTAACGTTAGAGACATATCATCAGGCCAAGAAGATGGCTTACTCAATCTACAACAAACTTTCATCAAGTCACTTTTCGGTTCTGTACCTGAAATAGAAGATGTTAAGAGCGGCCGGGACATGATAAGAGGGAGAGTTCGTGCGAAGAAGATTCTTGTGGTTTTAGATGATGTTGATAATGTAGACCAGGTTGATGCGTTGATTGGTGAAAGAAGTTGGTATGGTGAAGGAAGTGTTATCATCATCACAACCAGAGATGAAGAGATTCTGAGTAAGCTCTCTGTGAGCCAAAAGTATGAGGTTAACTGCTTGAGTGAGGAGCATGCCTTGAAGCTGTTTAGTTATCATTCACTACATAAAGAAAAACCAACAGAGAGTCTTCTGGAGTTGTCAAAGAAGATTGTCAAAATAACAGGGAAGTTACCACTTGCTATTGAAGTGTTTGGCTCGCATTTGCGTGACAAGAAGGAAGATGAATGGCTAACTGAACTAGAGAAGCTGAAAAACACCCAACCAGGCGATCTTAAAAGTGTTCTGGCGCTGAGTTTTGAATCTTTAGAAGATGAAGTGAAGACAGTCTTCCTCGACATTGCGTGTCTGTTTCTTAAAATGGAGATGGCTAAAGAAGAAGTCATGGACGTGCTGAAAGGTTGTGGGTTTAACGCTGAGGCTGCTCTCAGTGTCCTCAGACAGAAGTCTCTTGTTAAGATATTGTCAGACAAAGACAATACTCTTTGGATGCATGATCAGATCAGAGACATGGGAATGCAGATGGTGCTTAATGAAAACCGTGAGGATCCTGAAATGAGAAGTAGACTCTGGGATCGTGGTGAAATCATGAATGTATTAAACTACATGAAGGTACTTTTTTCTATCTATAGCAAATAGTTTCATTTGTATTTTGACTTATGTTCTCATGATAATGTGATGATGACAGGGAACAACATCCATCCGAGGAATTGTATTAGACTTCCAAAAGAAGTTTGTGAGGCATTCAACTGCAGTTGAAATATCGTCAAACAATCCAGGCAGCAGCTCTGCGGTTAGCTACATGAAGAATATATTTGTAAAGTTTCCAGCAGAGGAGAGGCCTAAAACTTCTGAAATCACCATTCCTGTAGAGCCTTTTGCACCAATGAAGAAGCTGAGACTTCTTCAGATTAATCATGTGGAGCTTGAAGGAGATCTTAAACTCCTCCCATCTGAACTCAAGTGGATACAATGGAGAGATTGCCCATTAAAAGATGTTCCACCAGTTTTTCTTCATAGGCAACTTGCTGTTCTTGATCTCTCAGAGAGTGGAATAAGACGATTCCAGAGTCTATGGTTCAAGAAAGTGGATGAGAACTTGAAGGTTGTAAACTTGCGTGGTTGCCACAACTTAGAAGCCATTCCTGATTTATCAAACCATAAAGCTTTAGAGAAGCTTGTTTTTGAGAGATGCAAGCTTCTGGTGAAGGTTCCTAGATCAATTGGCAAACTGAGTAAATTGCTTCAACTTGACTTCAGTTACTGTACAAATCTTGCTGAGTTTCTTGTGGATGTTTCTGGACTAGAGCATCTTGAAAAACTCTTCCTCTCTGGCTGTTCAAACCTGAGTGTCTTACCAGAAAACATTGGTGACATGAAGTTCTTGAAAGAGCTTCTTCTTGATGGGACTGCGATAAAGAACCTACCAGAAACTATATGTGGCCTTAAAAGTCTTGAAAAGCTTAGTCTATACGGCTGCAGATCTTTTCAAGAGCTACCTGAAGACGTGAAGAAATTGACATCACTAGAGGAGCTAGATGTTAGTGACACTGCACTGAAAATCCTTCCAAGCTCTATTGGAGATTTGATAAATCTCAAGAAGCTTCATCTGATGCACTGCACATCCCTTACTAAGATTCCTGACACTATCAACAAGCTCAAATCATTAAAGGAGTTTTTCATCAATGGAAGTGGAGTGGTGGAGCTGCCTCTAGACATTGGATCACTACAAAGTTTGACTGAATTTTCAGCAGGAGGATGCAAATCTTTGAAGCAGGTTCCGAGTTCAATTGGTGGATTAAATAATCTCTTCCAACTTGAGTTGGATCACACTCCAATTGTAACTCTACCAGAAGAGACTGGTGACTTGCGCTTCATTAAGAAACTTGAACTAAGGAACTGCAAATCCCTCAAGTCTCTGCCTAAATCAATAGGAGGTGTGGACACACTCGAAACCTTATACCTAGCAGGCTCTGACATTGAAGAACTGCCTGAAGAATTTGGAAAGCTTGAAAACTTAGTACTACTCCAAATGAACAAGTGTAAGAATCTCAAGAGGCTTCCCAACTCATTTGGAGACTTGAAGTCTCTTTACCATCTGTACATGGAGGAAACTTTGGTGGTGGAGCTGCCAGAAAGTTTTGGAAACCTCTCAAATCTAATGACATTGAAAATGCTCAAGAGACCTCTCTTTAGAAGTGATACTAAAGGTACAAGGGAAGAAACTGGTTTTGTAATACCAAACTCTTTCTCAAATCTCAAGTCCCTTGAGGAAATGGATGCGCGTAGTTGGGGAATCACTGGTAAAATCCCTGACGTTTTCGAGAAGCTTACATCTCTGAAGATACTCAACCTTGGGAACAATTATTTCCACAGTCTTCCTTCTAGCCTCACGAAGTTAACAAATCTCAAAGAGCTTATATTGTATGACTGCCAGGAGCTTACCTGCCTTCCTCCTCTTCCATGTAACGTGGAGAAGCTTAACTTAGCAGACTGCGTTTCATTAAAGAGTGTATCCGACCTTTCGGAGCTGACGCTGTTGCAAGAACTCAACCTCACAAACTGTTTGAAATTGAATCATATTAAAGGACTAAAGAAGTTGAAGGCTCTGAAACGGTTATACATGAGCGGCTGTAACTCTACATTCTCCATTAAAGTAAAGGAAAAACTCTCCAAGGTGATGATTCCCACAAACTTACTCAGCATCTCAACTAGTTTGAACTTTTCTTGCTGTCTTGTGAATCTCTTTCTCATTGCAGGTTTCTTTGAAAATGCTGAGGAATTTGAGTGTGCCTGGAAACAAAATCCCAGACTGGTTCAAGCAAGGACCTGTCAGGTATTCAGCTCAACTGAACAGAGAGCTCAGAGGAGTGATCATTGCTGTTGTTGTGGTTGTTAACCAAGAAAGCAAAGATGACTTCCATGTCCCTGATGTGTTGGGGATACAAGGCCAAATTCTCGAACTTGATAAAGTTAGAGTCAACCACATGTTAAACCTCACTGGAGTGCCGAAAACAAGTGATGAGCAACTCCACATCTGCAGATACTCACATCACCACCCAATGGTTACGATGTTGAAAGACGGGTACACTATACAGGTGATCAAACAGAAAATGGCAATCAAACAAGACGCTAAGCTAGAGATGCATGGGATCCATCTGGTTTACGAGGGGGAAGATGATTTAACAGCCAAAGAAGATGGCTGTTTAGATGAGACGCTGCAAACCGTTTCTCAGAAACTAGCAAAGTTTTTCAGCTCTTCTGCAAAAGTTGAAGCCAGCTCACAAGGTGGTGCTACTGTTACATGATGGAGAAACTAAGAAACTGCACTCAAACCGGTGCGGTAATACATAAACAAACAAAAAAAAGACAAAAAAAAAAGTGTTGTTCATATTTGGAGACATGGTGTGTTTGACTGTTGTGTTTTTCTTTCTACGTACTTTCTTTTTACCTTTGCTTTTGCAATCAATATATAAAAAAAAAACAAAAAGAGGAGACTCTTGTTTCCCATGATTTTCTGAGCATTCTTTAAGAACTGAACGTATTTGTGAATGTTTGGGTAAGTGACAGGTCCTTAAGTTGATAAACTGGCCAAGTGATGTCATCAAGACTTTTAAGGTATTTTAGTTTCAAAGTCGTGACGTCCCTGCAGAATTCCATGGTGGTTCTAAAGAGTGAAGCGAAATCAACTTGATAACAAATAGTTGACTTTCACTGCTTGTCACAGTAACAAAGAAGAGAGACCAAACATGTTAGCAAAAGGAAATTATGACAAGGCGATGGCATTATTCAAAGATAAGTTGGGGTTTCTTTATAAGTCTCATCCATAATAGTATATCATCACAACACAAGACCAAATGCCATCAAATGCATAACTTTAAAATTTTATATTAACATTCGAAACAAAGCTTATTTAATTATAACTCCAAGATCAAATGCCAAGAACTCGTTAGCTTTTGGCATACAATTAAGAAACAAGGCACAATAAAACCTTTCTCATTTCATACATTCCAAAGATTAAATTGATGACCCAACGAATGTACAGAACTTTACAGTAGCAGGACAAAATAAAAACAAGAACTCTTGCACTGTTAAAAAAGTAAGAACAGTGGGAAAAGTAACAAAGAACCCCCCCAAAAAACAACAACTTAAATTTGCAGTGTCACCAAGATTTACAGATGTGGTAAAAAAAACTCTTAAGAAACAAAACATTAGTAGCCATTTCAATTCTCCCAAAAAAAAAAAGAACCAATTAAATAACGAATAAGTAAATATTACCTGAAGTTAATCTCAGACCCCAAACTAAAAAGAATTAAAGTCATTCTTGTTATTGCCTCTGCCAAGGCAAGAAGCCAGTCACTTGATCAGCAAAACTAGACAAAACCAAATCCTTCAAACCAGTATCCCACACTTCACAGAACCGTCTTCTCCAATCCACCGGCTCAACCGCCTCTGTCCCTAGCCCTGGAGCTCTATCTTTAGACCCTTGGTTCTGATTCTCTCGCCAGTCCACAACATAAGTAGCCACTCTCCTCTCAAACTTCGCTTTAAAAGTCTCCCACACTTGATACTTATAATGGTTCACCACCGCAACACTCTCCACCAAACTCACATGCCCCACCCCTTCCCTCATCTGAAAATGATGAACCTCGTTGAGCAAAGAGCTCGTTAACATTTCTGGTCTGATTATAGACTTATGTCTCTCCGGGTATGCTTGTCTACAAGTGTAACCTACCGTCACGCCTTGTGATGGAACCGAGGTTAAACCGGACGGACCGTAACTATGACATTCGGTTCTTATCTCTCCAACCAAACCCCATGAAGTGTAGTTAGAAACAAGAGAGGATAAAGCGTTTTTGCTAGGTAAACCCTGAGAGTGATGCGTAGAGAAGTAGTAGAACTCGTCCACGTCGAAAAACCCGACCCATTTGCATTCATCTTTGGCCCTAACCGCACAATGAGAGAAACCAGCTTCTTGTGTCTTGATCCATGGCCAAACGTGTCGACTCACGTTGTAACTCTCTGAGTTAAGCAATTCAATCTCTTCTTGTATATCGTCGTCGCTGTTGTTGTCGTAGATAAACCAACGTTCGACGCCTAGCCACGAGTGATACATTATCCATTCACGTAAAGAAGGAGCTTGGTTCCATAGCATTGTGCAAACACAAAGCTCATGCTTCACCTTCACCACTCCACTCTTCTTCTCAACCGAATCTGAACCGTAGACTCTCGCAACTGATGGTAAAGCAGGATTAGATCTTCCTCTAGGATCCACGTGGATTACGCTTACACGAAACGGCTCTTGATTAAGCTTCAAACTCTCTGGCAAAACACACCTCACAACTTCTTGCGCTACAGCAAGAGCTTGCGTGACCAACACTCCAAGACTTGTTGTCTCAAATTGGCATTTGTAGTTGGAAGGATCTGACTCCTTGTGAGGTCTTCTAGTCAAACCTTTGACAAACACAACGACCGTGTCCCCGTCGGAGTCAACCACCGCCTCGTAACTAACTTTTGACCAATCATGAACCTTCTCATCAGGGAGACTCTGTTTCTTCTTCACCAAGTCACCACGGAATTGGACATCAACAGATGAAGAATAGTTCAAAGGAGCATTAGGGCACCGAACTATCGATCTAAACTCATCGAGTTCGTCGCTAGAAATCGATTGCAAGGCCAAAGTCTCTTCCTTTCTTCCTCCTCCATGATAAACACAAACTAGGTCTTTCACACGTGTCTCGATTCTACTCGAGAGAATGAGAAGCATATGGTCAGGGAACTGGACTCTGTCTTCAACTCTCAACGGAGGGAATAATCTTCCGTGGAAAGAAAGTTCCATTGAAGATAAGACGGAGAGAGCAGGGACACGAAGAGACGGTTGTAGAGAATCCGAAGGGACAGAGATTCGGTTGGAGGATAAGAAGAAGAGCAAGACGAAGAAACAACAGAGGCATATTGTTAGATACCTTAGAGACAAGAACTGTGGTTTTGGTTGTTGCTGTTGTCTGTTTCGAACTTTCCTCTTTTTCCCGTTCATCTCGTACTCCATCATCTTCTTCTTCGTTAAAGTTTTTTTTTCTTCTGGGTAGAACGGAACAGGGTGGTTTAGTAACTGATGTTTAACTCGGGCGGGGAAGAGATCTGGGGTTTGCGCTGGCCGACAAAAGTACTTTGTTTCTTCTTCTTTTGTAAGAGAAGTAAAAGAAGGGAATAATATAATTTTAATTTATTTATCGTTTTGTGATGAGTTGCATTAAGCGGCGTCGTTGTCAATAATTTTGGAAGCCAACGATTAGTACAAATCATTTTCCTCGCTTTTGTGGTTGGTTAATTAATTATTTAAAGAGGTTACGTCATTTTCTAATGGCTTAATGATTTTTGTTAGTTTAATAATGGATATTAGATGATGATATTTTTGAAATTTGTTTAATGTTTTAGGTTTGAAAAATAAAGAGAGATGTGTCAATAAAATAAAATAAATAAATAAATAAAAAATATTGATAAAGAGAGATGTATGATTCTCTGACAGTTGTGTTGCGTGGTGTTTTAGTTATTTACGGAAATCAATATCAATTGTTGTTCAAGATTCGCGGGAGGAGAGGACAAAACTTGTTTGGCACAAAAGCATGATTGAATAATCAACGCTGCTAATGTAGCTAAACAATTGGTCCGTGTGGAAAAGTATGGTTGATGAGTTTACCTTTTTTATGTAAGGTTGATGAGTTTACCATTTTTATGTTGAAGGTTGATGAGTTTACCTAGAGATAGCATCAGAATTAAACATAACATAGTCTCATTCATTCATGCATATACCATCTTTAGTTTATTCTTAGAAATTTATATTATGCCTGGTTAGATAGGTATAACAAAATGTGGTGAAGATCACGTTTTTGTTACTAATAAGTATGTCACGACAACAAACTCATCACTAATTTTATATTTTAATTAGCAAGTATATTTTTAAGATTCTTCGGTAATTTACTATGTAACGTAGATTGCATATTTTATTAGTGATGTCTCGTAGGTAAATAAATAATATCAGCTTCTTACAAGCTTGTCTGTCTTATTACAATGTAGGTCTTGATGAATGTGACGCTGAAGGTGATTGCTCTTCATCCATCTCGCGTTGCCCACCTCAAAAGTTGGTTCATTTGATTGGTGAGTTTGAAGAAGAGAAAACAATTTTGCTTAGGGTTTACTAGTAAGTTTTGCATATATCTTTTGGTTTTTGAGATATTTTGTTGTTTAGTTTGTCGTCTTATAAGTATAACCGACTTCCAGGATTTCATTATCTCTTTTTTAATCCATTATTGAGTTTTGATGCGTGTGTTTTGTGAGATTAGTATTGTATTTGTTATGCAAAATATACATCTAATAAGCTTGAAAAATCATGAAAAAAATGAAAGAAAGTGGGAACCGAACTACAATTTTTTTTAGCAAAGAACTCAACTAAATTATTCAAAGCAAACATGGTTTGTGTAATTGCTTATTAATGGATTCTGTAATGAGTCGTGATTAAAAGAAGAAAGGTTACCAAATTTGGAAATGAGGAACGTGGAGATTAGGTATATGTAGGGTATAGGATTAGTGAGAAATTGCTTTAAATCGCTGGAATCATGTTCCTTTGTTTTCTCCCTCATTTTCTTTTATATATTTCTAAGATTATAGCTAATGATTGATGTTTGATCAAAAAAAAAATAATAATGATTGATGTATAATAAAACAAAAAGGAATGTGCCTTCCGTAACAGTACATCCTTTTTTTGTTATTCCTTCTTGATTGTTATTCTTGTTGGGCTCTTCTTTTCTGAATGATTACAATAAAACCAATAAATCCAGCAACATTTTCTTTCCGTTCTCCCAACTTTTGTTTTGTTTATCACTTTTTATATCTTCAATCATAGCATACATAATTTGTTCATCCACCACATGCACATGTTAGCTAGCACACGGCCTACGCAGAGAGTAATGATGATCATACGTATGTATGTGTACTGCACACAAAACGTTTGATGATCAAACCCGAACGGAGCGACCTGGTAGCTTTCTCAACTTAAAAAGCGAAAACCAACAAGCATCAGATTACCCGCGCCCTCGAGAAGACAAGAGTTAGATCAACCCTGACACTGCCTGTTTGTTATTTCCTGATTTTGCCCCGAGTTTGGAACCAATATTGTGTTTTGGTTGTTATCCTTTTTATCTCTGTACCACAATGGCAAAACTGAATACATGAGTCACGTTTTGAAATTCAAGTATCACAATATTCCACAATGCGTGGCTCACAAGTTACAATCAAAAGTCAATCTCCGAGGCCCATTTGAAGTGGCCCTAAAAGAGACCTCAAAACACATTGGGGTACATTACAGTAGTTGATAAACAGTAGTTCATAACTTAATTTCTGACTTTTAGACAAATGGATTGAAGTGAAGTATCTGTATTGTCCTAATTTTTTATATAGCGACCACTAAATTTTTTGTCTTCCCGGAAGAATTTATTAGATAAGAGTCATAAGACAGAGTAAACACAAAACAGTCGCACAAATCTATACATTCTCTTGTCCATAGTTTTGACATAACTCTAATGACATTACAACATATATCATTTCTATTCACATGCCTTTAATCCTTGAAGCTTTTTTTGATTAAACTATTTGATTGTTTCTTTTTTTTTTTTACAAGAGAAAGCTGAACGTGTGCGAGAGTAGACAAGTCAAACATGCGGTTGAAGCAAAGCATAAAATCTGAGATTTGGCTTTTTCATGTTCACCACCATCTTAGTCAGCTTCTATTGTACTTCATTCCTCAAATCACTCTCTGCCCCAAGAAAATCAATCACTCAAATGCACTCTCTCACTAACTTCAAGTAGATAATCTGAATATACAAACAAGCAAATCTTTACAACCATGCTTTGATTTTAAGCTAATCACCGAGGAAAGCAACTAAAAGATGGTTTTACTGGTTGTTTTCTGTAATGTTGTATGCATATAGTCTTGGAACTGGTTTCTTGCTGTTCTCTTTCTAAAAACAGAACCTCCCCTTTGCATCCCATGGTCAAAACTGTTCTCGTGAGAAGCCATTTCACTGGCTGTGTTGCTGGTCCGTGTTTGCATTGGTCTCTCCTCGGTTTTTCTCCAGAACTTGGGACTTGAGAACTCTGCACCAGGTAATTTTTGAACAACTCTCCCGTTAGAAACCGCAAGATCGCATGATATTTCATCCAAAGCCATCTCTAGACCGCTTACACGAGACTCCAGAGCCCGGATCCCACTCTGTGAGCTTCCCATGAATTTCTACATCCAAATGAAATGGTTTTTTTTTAAGTATTTCATCTATAAAGTATTTGATATACATTAAGGTAAAACCGAATAATTAAAAACCAATCTTAAATACCTGAAGTAGGTCTAAAAGACTGGACTGCTGGTTCTCAATCATAGCTAGCTGCTCACGTATCAAAGAAAGTTCCTCACTATCTTTCCTTCTTTCATCAACACCATCATTACCATTCTTGACAACAAGATCACAAGAATCATCACTACATGGCGCCACCCTAAAACCAGATCTCAAACCACAACCAAACCCATGTAGTTTCTTCTCCTCCCTGCTTTTCTCAGAGATTGTATGTTTGATTACATCTGCTCCCCCTGACTTCACCTTATCCTCCTCCCTAGAATCAACTAACATGGTTACATTCCTTCTTGGAAGATTCTCCTTTTGTTGTCTATTCACAGGCAAAGATGGTGACCTCTTGGTCATACGCGTTGACTTCTTTAATCTTGAAGACTTGAAACCAACGTCAACGGAAGATGTACATGGAGATAACAAGGCCTCATCTACATCATTTGAAACTTCTTTCCACTGACTCAACGCTCTATTCATAGTCTCTCTCACACTCTTCACCTTATCAAACCTTCTACTCTCAAAAGCCACCGTGCAAGCTTTCTTGTATTCCCACGCCAACTCTCCCTCCTCCTCCGCAACTCTACTCAACGCCTCAGCTGCCGATTTCCTAACCGTCCAATCTTCACTCCTCAGAAACTCAACCAAAACCGGAACTAACCAATCCAAAACCGGTTTACTCCCCGCGCCACCCGCGGTTATAATACTACCCACCGCACTCAAAAGCGCCGCCTTGGCCTTAAACCCTTCGCTCTTCAACAGCTTCCCGATCTTGGGAAGAGCCTTCCTCAACTCCTCCGGCTCAGGATCCGCCGCGGCTTCCACCGACGCCGCCAGACACACCGCCGCTCCGATCTGCACGTTCTTGTCCCCTTCCTGGACCAACGCCTCGATAAGCGGTTTCGCCACGGAGGCGAAGGGGCGTCTCGTGACGTGAGCGGATATATCGGCGGCGGCGGCGGCGCAGGCGGAGCGGACGGAGGAGTCGGGGTCTCGGAGACGGCGGATGACGGCGGAGACCATTTTAGAGAGGTGGGGAGATAGAGACTCGCCGTGGTGGCGAGACATGAGGGACAAGACGGCGACGGAGTGTTTCCTCACCGGGGGTTTGGAGGAGGAGTCGGTGTTGTGGATGCAGCTGAGGAAAGAGGAGAAGGAGTCGTGAGTGAGGTTTCTTGCGATGGAGTCAAGCTCCGCCGCGGCGAGGGTTAAGGTGTCACGGTCGGCGAGTTTGTTGAGACAGGCGATGACTCGCTGCTTCAGGTCGGGAGACGACGGTGGCTGAGAGCTCGGAGAAGAGGAAGACGACGGAGATAATGAAACTGGCATGTTAACTCTGTTTGTTTCCTCTGTTTTTAAAGTCTCCGGGTTTGAGATTTCCGAAGAAGTGTGTTCACATTATGGCGGCAGATGAATCTCCGACAGTGCGTGTTTAAATACTAACTAGAGAGAGGTGGTTAAAATTAAATAATATTATTTATTTTTTAATATTAATATTATCAGTTTATTAACAATAACAAATCATCTTTATAAACTGTAAATTGGATTTTAAGAAATCGTCATTGGTGTATTTTTCTTACAGATAATATAGGTCGGAAAGATAATAGTGTAGGTCAGAAAGATTCTGTCCTTTTTGATGTCGTGTTAAATCCTTACAAAAAGTAAACTATAATAATATATATAATATTGTGATATTTAAAAATTCAAATGAAATGTTGGCAAAAACAAAAATGAAATGAATGATTTTAGTTGAACAAATACCAAATGTATTATCACCAATACCTAATGATAATGTTAGAGTACGACAAGAAACTAAAACTAAAATAAAAAAATCTGACAGACAATGGAATATATCCTAACTGGCGAACCATTGAACATTTCCAAATTTACAATAATATATTATTAATTAAGTGACTAAGACAAATTTAATATGATATGTTGTGCTCCATAATTCTGTTTGATTTGACTTGTTAAGAGTATCAATGATGTTTTTAGAAGATGTTGTAATCATATTTTTGTTTTTTCAACAAAAAGGGCCATGTTTATTTAATTTAACATGCATATGATATGAAAACGACAAATCGCATTTACTTTTGTATTTCGTAATGGAAATAATGATCTAATGACGTTATTATATGATTTTGATTAATCAATTTTGGTAAAAAATGGTAAGAAACTAGAGTGAGTAACAAAGAGAAAGGTGGAGAGAAACATTAAGGCAAATCACGTGAAGGGGAGATGGAGAGAGCAGGCAGCTTGGGCAGACGAGCACGTGACTTGATTACACTGAGAGTATGGAGGAACAAAGGAATGATCACTTTCATTACGTCTTAATATGTTGGGAAAATACACATCCCATGTGACTTTTGTTCGTCCGACCATTGTTTTAATTCGTTATGGCTTCATTCTTTCTGGCCTGTTCTCTCCCCTCGTCTTGTTCTTTTCATTTTTGATTTAGTTGATATTCGGTAGAGCTCACCCGAACTGATATAAGATCGTACTTGGTAGTATCAAACCGATTCCTGGCCTCCTGTGGGATAAAGTTCAATATTTTCTAGTATTAAACATCAAATCATATAAATAGTTGAGCAATGATGGCCCAGCTAATTAAGGTGGCAGGGATATATAACACACTTTTGTTTCTATTACGACGACATGTAATTAAGTTAAAGTCTATAGCATCCATCAGTGCTCGAATGTCTTTTTCTTCCTGGATTCTTTTGAGATGTGGAACCATTCAAGCTTGTTTACTTACAGACACATCAAACATAATACACATGGCTTATAACAAAAATTGAGCTATTGTAAAATTTTGTTATAGATTTAAAGCCACGTTACATACGTCATTTCAATTATTATTTTTATCAATATTATCAAATTACGTTTATCATTTTTCATATAGTGATATTTTGTGCAACCTATATATATGAAATTAATGATAAAGGGTATGCATAACTGACGTTGTCCCTGTATACATAATATAGGAATTGTTAATGTTTAGTAATGCTGTTTGACTAAGTGGCAAAGCTAAACCACAAATACAAATATTAGGGAAAGATAAGAGAAGAGCTTTCACATGGACATAGCTCAAATATGGACAACAAACTCCCACATTTTTATAGTTACTTCTCATTATTTGCATCTATGTTTTCCCTGCTAGGGAACACTTGCACATGTTCTTATTTTCTTCTAGTATTTTCAAAAATAAAATAGAGAAATTATCATTTTAGTTGCGATGAGGCATGCATCTACCAATGGAATTGTGTTGTGGACGATTTAACAGAGTTTGGTTCATGTACATGGAATCGTCCATGTGTTGATTGTGTTGTCCCATCATGATCCCAAAGACCAAATCTATATAGCTTGCCCCAATAATTTTCTCTATTATTATTAATATATTTATATGATGCAATTACGTAAGAGGAACTACTACACAAATGTTATTTACCTTTTCAGCAAAAATCAATAAAATACAATGAAAAAAATAACCAAAGTTTGATTATTGGACGCTGACCCACAGATAACCATTTTAAATTTTGCAAGTACTCGTAGAGAGTTATAATTCGATATATATTGTTATAATGAACTAATTCTTATGTAACCCTATACAAATTTCTTAATACGTAGACATGTATATATATAAGTTTATGGTAGGATTCAATTACTGTCTTAGTGGTTAGTTCAATTATATGGAAACTTGATGTTCAATTGTATGTATTCATAATTTATATTCTCAAGATTATTATTACCGTCATATCACATGTTCAATCATGTATTTGTGCAACAATTCAATTCTTTGCAACCCTTATGTACATCATACACTTGTTTTATTTATTCTGTTGTCAGATATATCAAGCAAACATTACAAAATTTTGGTTGATGATCACCAAAGTGTTATGTTTTTTTTTTTTTGGCTACTGAGAATATTGAATTGGTAGAAAGTATAATGAGTGTAGTTATGCAAATTACGAATGCCAATTAGCCTTGTTTGGACTTGTGTTATTATCATATGTAAACATTATAGCACAAAAACCGAACATTATAACACAAGTTTTCACATGGAAGCTGCTCTTCCACTGAATTTTGGATCTATAACATATTTTTAAAATAATTAAATGAAAATCAATTAGTTTAACAAATGCATTCGAAGAAAAAAAAACAAATGTATTTGAATATAATATTTTGTATATCCTTTTTTTTTGTTCAATGATATTTTGTTTATCTATCGATCGATTCTAGTGAGTTTTCGTAAATTCATTTATATATAAACAGAAGATACATGTTCATCGGCTAGATTCATATTAACCCTCAGATATGGTTTGGTTGACGATTAGATATTAGAAATGCTGGCATTCAACATAAAGTAGGATTTATATGTATTATTTTGCAGTTTTTTGTTCAATTCATGTATTTTCTTTTAATATTCTATCGGTCTGGCCCATCAATAAAACATCTACCGTAGTCACTGAATCATTAATTGATAATCATTACTAAATAATAACACGATTGGATTCAAAGAAAAAGGATAAAAACTAAAAATAGATGATAATGAAACGAGAACACAAGTAGGTAGGTCTTAATTTATAGCAAACTAAAAATCGAATTAGTTCTTTCTGGTGATTCTTTGCACTAATGATTATAGCAAGATATATTCTGGTCTCACTACTTTTTAATGATTTTTAGCAGGCTGGAGTGATTGACACCAAAACCCGGAGGGACTCTCTTGAACCGAAAGCAAAACTCATGCAAGGTTCTCTTCCAGTACGTTCCATATTACCAAAAGGCTCTTCAGAAAACGTGTTATGATAGTTCATCCGTCCCGTTTTAGTGTGATCTTCGCCACCAATGTTGTTCCATTAGTCTTGAGTTGAAGAGCCAATGATCTTTATGTTACATAGAGAAGTCTCTAGTTAGTTACCTGTAGTAATTCTAGTAGCCATTACAAAATGTATTACTAGAAAACTCGCACCACCGCGCCGTAGTTGTTTTGTATTTTCAATGCAATTTTGATTTTGAAAAAATAGTTTAACTTTGTTGGATTTATGTATTAATTAGAGAGAGAAATATAGAAAAAATGGAGTTTTCAACTAATTTATTCACATCCCTATAAAACTATGAAATGACATTGAAAAACCTTTAAAATTTTAACTGAAATAATTTAAATATAATAACCAATATTTTAGTAAAATATTTAAAATAAATTAATAATATACAAAATTTCAATTAATATACACATATATAGAATAATATAAAAAATTCAATTAATATACAAATATTTAAATTTCACCTAATTTATGTTTTTGTGCTTATAAAATGCAATTTCCCTATTATAAATAGTAATACAAGATTTTGAAGATCCATCTTATATATTAAAACAGAAGTCACCATTTCACTTTATGTGTGATTTTTTAGTTTGGACCATCTTTATAAATTTTACATATATTAATTATGATATCTTTTCATATCTTATTTTTATTGGAAATGTAAATAAATATTTGGAAACAGATTCTAACAAAATCTTTTTGCAATCTTTTTGCAATCTTTTAGAAATATATCTTATATATTAAAACAGAAGTCACCATTTCACTTTATGTGTGATTTTTTAGTTTGGACCATCTTTATAAATTTTACATATATTAATTATGATATCTTTTCATATCTTATTTTTATTGGAAATGTAAATAAATATTTGGAAACAGATTCTAACAAAATCTTTTTGCAATCTTTTAGAATATATAAAGCTTTTAGTGTTATTTCAAATTTTAATTATCATCAAATAGAAATATATCATAAAACTAAATTAAAATGATATATTAATATATTTATTTTCATAAATAGAAATATATATGTTAAAATAATATATTATGTTGTCAAAAAGGGGTAACATACTATGTATTACATGTATACAAATTAATATATCTTAAATTTATAGATATACAACAATATATCATCTAAAATTAATATACATAAGCAAATCACCATTTGGTTGACAAAACAAAATAAAAATTATTAAATATTTAAATATGTGATTAATATTAAAATATATATACCCATAATAATGTAAACAAATATATATAAGAAATTAAAACTCGCTCGGTTGAGCGGGTCAAAATCTAGTTAAATTTTAATAGAGATTATTTAAATATAATGATCCAAAATTTTAGTAAAACATTTAATATCAATTACTGAAAAATAATGGATTGCAGATTCCAAAGTTCTGTAATGGTCTCTTATTTATATGAAGCTTTGAACTAAGCTAATGATGCAAATCGTGAAGGACAAGTAACAATGGTGCAGTCTTTAATACCCGGCTTGATGGACGACGTAGCAGAGCTGTGCCTCTCGAGAGTCCCACGCTCTAGCTTTCGAATCATTTCTCAGGTGTGCTGGGGATGGACAAGATTCCTCAGGAGCGAGCGTTACGGAGCCGTTCGAAAGTTGACGGGATCGGTGGAAGAGTTAATGTGTGTTAAAGTGAATAACAATAACTGGGAAGTTTTCGACTGCTCTGGTAACAAACTTGGACGCATCCCTCCCTCTCCTGGGCCTTCTTGGGTAGGCGGTCTCCGCCACGCGGTGCTCGATGGCCAAAGGATCGTGGTCTTCGGTGGAAAATCTGCGAGGGTTCCTTCGGCCGATGTTTACGAGTTCAATCCTGCTACTAACAGGTCTGAATCTATCTGATCAATTTGTGACATTAGAGTTTCTATTCTTAGTGGTTTTGTTTGTTGATGAAAAGTAGGTGGAGAAAACTGGCAGACATGAACATACCCCGTTCCGGCTTTACATATGCTGTAGTGGACGGTCTTTTGTATGTGAACCAAGGCTATTCCTCAGACGATGTTCGCATTCTCAACTCGGAAGTATACAACCCGAAAACTAACCAATGGAGCCTCATGGATTGTCCAAAGAGCCACGGCTTTGGTGGCTTTGCATTCTCCTTCAATTCCAAACTCTTCGTTGTAGGTGGGAATAGAAGAGCTGCACATATATTATTATTCCGAGTTAAACATACGTTGATGATGATTATTTTTTCAGGCGAAAGATCGAGGTTCATCGACATATATGACCCCAAGACGGAGATATGGGAAAAGTTAGACACCGGGCCACTGTCAGTGTATTCCTACACTGTTCTTAGGAACAAAGTGTATTTCTTCGAGTGGTTCACGCCGGGAATGGGAGTGTTTGATCCAGAGAAGAATGCTTTGAGCTCTGTGTTTGTGCCTCCGAACAATAAGTGTGAATTCAGGTACACAATAGGGCAATGGAACAATAAGGTTATCCTGTTTTCAGAGGGACGTGAGGCCTTAAGTGGTGACCTTGACAAAGAGGACACACCCAAGTGGACAACCACTCCAATTAAAACATCTTATCATCACGCTACCAGTGTTCTCATCAACTTTTGATTTTGCAAAATGCGTGCAATGTTTTGGGGTTGTCATCAACTTTGTGTTTAGCCCTCAGCTCTGTCAACAATAAATTTGTCATTTATTTATTTTTTTTTTTTGACTTAAAATTTGTCATTTATTTCCTCTGTTCATCTTTGCATTCAGAACTATTAAACCTACCAAAAAAGTGATTTACTACTTACCTAGTCTAAGATTGCTATTTTCGTTTACTGTGTATGCTTTTGCCGGTCAAAAGGTCATAGCATAGCTTCTTTGTTCTTGTGTTGTGCTTATATATGATATGTTATATACTTTTGGATATGGGAAACACAGGATGTGACTCCAAATATAGTTGACCATGTAATTTAGTTTCTATACTATTTTGACCAATCAAAATGAGCTCTGGGTCCGCCTCAATGATGAATAATGATGAATAGTTATAAATTTACAATAGATGTTAATCCGTACGTCCGCCAAATTTTTGTTTTACGATATATAAATATATATTAGATTTTGATCCGTGCAACCGTTCGAGTGTTTGTTTTCGTTTATAGTTAGTCATATAAACATTTTGTTTTCACTTGTAAATTGGTATATATTATAGTAATCACATATTTACGATATGTATAGTAAATGTTTTTCAAACATAATAATATTATATAATACGTGTTTTAATCAAATAGATTGTTTCAAATTTTTTTATATCATACATGTTTATCAAACATGTATTTGTTTCCCTTGTTTCTTCTTCTATATTTTATTGTTTATTAGATTGGTATTTCATTTTTAGATAAAATAATATAAATAAAGCTTGATTAAAGATTAGTATACTTTAATTTGCAAATATAATATAAACTTCGAATTTATTTTTGCTAAAAACTAAACTTATAGCTTCATAAATTAATATTATACAGAATTTTATTAAAACTATCTATACTATTATTTAAGAAGTAAATTTGCTTAGTTGTCACGTTCTCCATAAATTTAGGTAATTTTATTTATATATCATATTTTTAATATTTATATATGTTTTATTTATAAACAAAACGAATTCATATGAATATATCTTATTTTTAGTAAATAAGATAATTCTTATGAATTATGTTGTTATCTTGAAATATATTTATATATACTAGGAAACCACCCCGCGCGTTAATATGTTTTTTTAAAAGTAATTTTTATATAATATTTGTTAGTCAATCATTTTGAATCATTTAATAAACTAATTATTTTGTACGAAAATCAATACTTAAAAAATAATCTTAGATAATAGAAGAGTGAAAGTATAATTTATGTTTGAAAATGTATAAATTTAAATGTTATGCGTTTAGCATAACAATATTAAGTAAACTTNTGCAGTCATTTTCTTTTATCTTTTTATATATGAGAAGACAAACTTTTAAAATTTGTTGAAATGATGGAACAGTTTAAACCTTTTAATTAAATAATATAATATGTTTTAAAACACTGTAATTAACATGCAAAGAACGACATTTTTAAATCTATGACGCTCAGTACCTCCATACAAACTGGTTTAGAAAAACAAAAAAAAAATGGACTTTATCAGAAGAAGAATGATTACAAAAAAAAAAATAGGTTGTTTTCTTACAGCCAGATTGGTTTGGATATGGTAGTTTAGTTTCGCTGAAACTAAACCTATTAAATTATTTTTGCAGACACCACATTAAATTTTTAAAGATCGTTTAAAATTATATAATGAATCAAACATTATATTCAAGAGTACTAAGAATCATACCTATATTAGAAAAAAAAACATAAACTTTCTTAAAAAATTGCATCTGTAAAACATTCTATTTATAGTAATCTGAAAAGGTACATTGATAGATTATCAAGAGTTGTGTTTTGTTTTAAAATGAATATTTTCAAGAGTTGCGAGGAAAAAAAGTTCAATCAAATACATTTTCAAGACCATTAGATAGAACCATAATAATTACAACCACGAGACTGAAACTCTTCAAAAAAATTTTAAAAAGTCAAGAATTAGGGAAAAGTATGACTCTTCAAATTAAAGAGATGTGTTGTCTGAAAAAAAAAATAACTGCTCATAGCAATTTTAATTTAAGTATAAAAAAATTATTAAGACCAATAGAAGAAAAAAACAATTATAACCAAAGATTGTAATCCTTCAAATATGAAAAAGTATGACTCTTTCATGTAAAAATATGTGTTGTTTGAAAAAAAAATATGTTAATGCCATAAATATCGTATGTCTAAAAAGCATTTCTTAGGACAATTGCATGAAAAACAAAACAATGGTTGAAAAATTGTATCTTTTCATAATAAACTGAAATATATTAGTTTAAAAGTTGCATCTTTCATTATAAAAATAATTGTGTATTTTCAAAAAAAAAAAAAGTTGTTGAAAGGTTGTATCTTTTCATAAGAACCGAATTATATTAGTTTAAAAGTTGCATCTTTTTATTATAAATAGAATTGTCTAGTTTCATAAAAAAGTTATCTATTATTCTAAAAGTTTCATCTTTTCACTATTAAAAAAAGTTTATGTTTCAGATAAAATAGTTTAAAAGTATTTAAAAGAGGGTATAAGAATTGTGACTTCTCAAAATAACAATTGTTGAAAGGTTGTATCTTTTCATAAAAAAAACTTAAATATATTAGTTTAAACATTGCATCTTTTCATTATAAAAATAATTTTGTATTTAAAACAAAATCTATTATTTTTAAAGTTGCATAAAAATTTTATTTGGACCATTAGATGAAAAACAAAACAATTGTTGAAAGGTTGTATCTTTTCATAAGAACTGAAACATATTAGTTTCAAAGTTGCATCTTTTCATTATAAAAACAATTGTGTCTCGCAAAAAATAATTTAAAAATATTTAAAATAGTTATAAGAGTTGCGTCTTCTCATAATAAACATCTACTAATTATAACAATC